TCAGAAAAGATTGTTTGGATAGCACGGGTGGAGGTGTTTTCATTGCCATATCTGCTGCAATCCCGTCCTATTCATTTGAATTTCTTAGTCCTCCTGACGTTGAGTTTATTCTGATTTGAGCGAAAATTGTCAGTAAAGAATTATATGTAACTTGCCCCTATATTCCTTCAAATGCAGATATCTCTATTTATAAGAAACATGCTGGCCTCCTTGAGGCGCGGCCATAAAATCTAAACTTTCTGATGTGGTCGCACCGCTGCTTAAATACTACTTTCACACATGATGCTCGATTTTTCTGTTGAGAATATTGAAACCCTACTATCATAGTTCTGTAATGCCTAGATTATGCCTACTAACCTAGCTGTCACTGGAAAAACGCAGATTCATTATTTGCATTTCCTTTTTAATTAAGATAATAAATGGTACTATCGATTCGTCCAAATTAGTAGGTTAAATAAGCTTTAATGTTAATAATCACTTCTCTAAGAACTTTATATTCATAAAATCAATGTAAATATAATTTTGACCTGTTTATCGCGTTCAGAGTTGTTTGCAGAAACTTAACTGATGGCTATAACTTAATTTCAGATTATTTGAAGTCTTTCAAAACAACTTTGCTTAATACACGCGATTTACCTATGCCATATTTAGATTAACTTACAATCTTAGCATCTCATGATAATTCGAAAGTTAGCTGGTGTTGTTTACTGGTATCATTTGCCAAGCTTTTGCATGTTTGCAATACCTTAGGGGTTCACTTGTAACTTGAATCCGTACCGGTTGTAAATACAGTGTGCCAATTGTGGGCATGGTTTTTTCTTTCTTATTTAATTGTATAAGGTGTTAGCAAAAATGTTGATTATTTTATCACTTGAAAAAGGCACTTATTGTGGAAAATTGGTACAACATTTATTAATCAAAATACTTTCCATCATTTGCTACAAGATTTTCCCAACTTTCTGGCAAAATGGCGACACTGTGTTGAAAGAAAGATATTGGTTTGGCAGCGATCCAAACTTCAACCCATTTTCGCACCTTTTTCACTTAAGGGACTCGGGTGCAGGCCATGTCCAATGAGTACGCTGGTTGCGGGGGAAGAAAAAGTATTTTGATCGTCGCGTACACTGAATAAATCAATAATATTAAATGGAAAACTGTTATTTTATGTAGACGAAGGTCAAAACCATCGAATTCAACCGTTATATACACTGGTATTTCCCATTTCTTTATCATATTTACCTTTTAGAAGTCGCTGGTCAAAATTTTTGCAAACACCTAATATATGATTTTTTGTTCTTCTTCATATCTCTTTATGTACTTCGTATTAATTTTCGATAATAATTAGTATAAGATTTACTTTTAAGAGTCTATTGAATTCGACTGTTAATTTATTTTAGCTAATTTTCATGTATAAGTAAATAAATAAATAAAAAATTCCGCTATTATATGAAATATTGTTCTCTTGTGAAAGCCAAAAATAAAATATCAAACCGACAAAAACACCCTGTGCATACGCAGACGTTACATCTTTTATACCTATCACCGTGATCCTAAAAAAAAGGAAGAACTAAATTTTCATACTCTAGAGATGATTTGTAGAGGTACTACAGCGTTTCTCGTAGAATATTTGGTCAAATTTTTGTAGATTTATCTGCTGTACTTTGTGAGTAATGAACAAAATAAACATTTTTTCCCAGTCCGTGTTATAGAGGATGAAAATTTTGTTCTCTTACTTGTTTTGTCTTTTTTAAGATAACGTTGATCGGTATAAATGATTCGGTCCCGACCGGATTTAATTTTCTTACTTATTTTTTATTCACACTATGTACACATATGTAAATAAAATCCATTAATAAAATGAAACAAATCTCTTGAATTTGAAAGGAATGTAAACGTAATTATTCAAAATGGAAAAGCACTATAATGCTACCTGCCCATTTCGTCAATAAAAGTAACAGATTTTCTCGTGGAAGTGTCTATAATTCAGAAATCTGGTGGACTAGCTGAATATAGCCCACTGCTAGTATATACCAAGCGATTTAAGTGTCTTAAGTAGCACAAGAAAATACATTTACTAGTACTTTTGATCCTGGGACAGACCTCCTTCCTATCAACAACTTTAAACTTTGAACGGCTATGAACATATTTTTGAATTTTGTTCGCTTAGTAGCCATAACAGAGTTCATGTGATTGCATCAATTTCGGCATACCAAAGGAACTGTACCAATAAAAAACTTCAATACCAATTTTGCTGGAATATAAGAGTATTTATTTATTTTTATTTACTTACACATGAAACTCAGCTAATATAAATTAACAGTCGAATTCAGTTGACTCTTAGAAGTAAATCTTATATTATTAAAAAACAGTATAAAGTATATAAGTCCATGTAAAAAAAAAATAAAAAAAAAACACAAATAATTAAACAATAATTCACTTATTATTAAATAAGAAAAAAACAAGCATGTACATAACTAGCAAAGAGGGTACGTTTTTCAAGTGACAGTTAGGCTAACAGGCACAATCTATTTTCATAACGAAGCAGAGAGACAATCGGGTCTCAACCCAAATTCAGTAGGAATTCACTTTCAACGGATTCAATTGAATCTACATAATATCTATAGGAAGGGAACTATAGAACACAGGCATACTCAAGTATGCTCATGTGCAGCCGTTTTTTAATGTAAGGATCATTAAGGTCTTTAGACCACCTCTCCATGAAAACTATCGCCGACCTAGCTTTACTTACAAAGAGCTCAATGTGCAAATTAAAACGTAACCCTTGGTCGAATAGAAACCCTAAATCGATGAACGAATCAACATTTTCCAACTTGTCTGAATCACTGAAATACTCAGTATAGAAAGACTTCTTCCGCGAGAAAAGAAGGTCCTTGCACTTTCTTAAATTTAATTTCATAAAATTTAACATCGAAATTATATATGTAACCAAATTATCTGAGCCAATTTAGAGCTGATTGCGAATCTAAAGAGTAGCAAAAAAACAGTTTAACTTCATCAGCGTCAAAACCGTCCTAAGTGGCTGCCTTGAGGGACGTCAGACGTCACGGTAAATTCATCCCAGCTAATGAAATTAAACAGAACCCTAAATAATCTGTTATGAAGATAAGAGCATTTTACTAAGTACAAAGCACAGCCGGAGATCTGGAGTTTGAAAACCAATAAGTTATGGTTAATTACCTCAAACGCTTCACTAAACTCAGAGTATCCAATATCCGAGCGAGGGCCACTAGAAAAAGCCGGAAAAACATAGCAAACAAATTCGAAAAAATACGTAACAGTTGATCTTCCTTTCAGAAAGCCATCCTGGAATGGAAAAACATAAAATTTGACAGCAAAAATTAAATGCTGAGTAACAATTCTCTCACACAATTTAGCTAAGATATTTAACTTGGCAATGCCTCCATAGTTCTCAACATGCTATCTGTTCTATGCTTTTGAAGCGGAAGAAGGGACCGATTCATGCAACGCAAACGGAAAACACCTGATTTCATATGCTAATTGAAAATCTTTGAAACAACACCACACAGTTGTTCAGAGCATGATTCAAGTATAGATGATGAAATATCATCAGATTAAGGCGCGCAACTATATTTTAGAGACCTCAAACAATTTAGAATGTTATTTTCGGCAATGACCACGTTAGGAATCAAAATCGAGTTAGCCAACTGATATGGACAATTAACAGTTAAATTGAATCTCCGCAGACGTGTCAGGCGCCAGTCTTGACAAAAATATTGTCTTTCGGGAAATTATTACCATCAGGCGGAAGTCATTCGTATTAGGAACGTTAGGAATTACGGGTAGAGAACTTTGATTTGGGGAGAAAACAGAGACAGTGACTACCTCTGATTTTGCAATTTGTGCGACTTGTGCAGCATGGTGTCCAGCAGATGCACCTGAACAGTTAGAGGGAGAGGGGGATTTATTGTTTGGTTTATTTGTTTTGATCGTATAGACTGAAAGGATCAAATGGCACCACTCGAAGGAGATATCTGTGTCACCTCAGCATAGCTGACACAAAGAGTGCTTACCAGCTTGTTCGTATTATTTGTGTTACCAGAAATGTTTACGATGGAAAAGATGGTAATGCCTTTGGAGGCAAGGGTAAAGCACTCGATACCTTAACCGGATTTGCCAATGGCGGATCCACAAATTCTATCGTTGACGATGAGGAATGATGGTAAGCAATATGCACAAATGTAGGGGATTTATGCGGAGATGGAGGTGAAATTCCGCACGCAAGTTGGCAGTCAAGTAAACGTCGTACGATAGTTCATATTAAGAACGATTAAATTTCCAGATGGAGAGTTTTAATTTGCCTTGCCCAACATGGTGAGCAGCGGACACACTAGGAGGTGCGGCGAATTTATTATTTCCATTAATATTCTTCGACAATTTAGACAGAGTAGCCTGATTCATACCATTGGGAGGAGATACCCTTACCTCCTCAATACAGCTGAAAAAAGCAATAAAGAAAAAAATTAAAAAAATACATTATAAAATAAATAAAGCGCGCGCGCAAAGTTATCATATTTACCTTAATCCAGATCTGATAAAGATCTAAACAGTGAGGACTGTGTTGGATCCAAACCCCTCTGCGGAATATCTTAGCAATATTATTACGTCGCGCAGCCTACTTTACGTAAAAAGGGTCAGAAAGTGATATTCCACTGTGGCCGAATTTGTTATACCTACTATCTTTCTATTAAAACAGAGTACACAAATATTGTGTCCGTTTAGAAGTAATGAGCAAAAGACCACAGTACAACGTAAAGTGAGAGCACTTCTGTTTTCAAAGGCACAAAAATAGGTCTTTTGCTCATTACTTCTAAACGGACACAATATTTGTGTACTCTGTTTTAATAGAAAATTTGTAATATCGTTGTCATAGTATTTGTTTTTTTGCTGGAAATAGATTTGATTTTTTTTGTAAACCCTCGAATCACATTTCCAAATATTCCAAATAACGTTTTTCCTCGATTTTGGTAAAATGTAAATAAGGGCTGATATTTATTCAAACAATTTATGAATGTAGTAGATGTCGCATAAATGTTTGTATGTTTTGAATTTAAATAATCAAAGAAATAAAAACTTTAAGTAACTAGAAAATGGTTTACAACTAAACCTGAATATAATTATGGTTATAATATTCATTTTGTGATTTAATTTAGTAACACTTTTGCTTGCCTTTAGTTATGGACAACTGTTGAGGAATGTTGAATACTACGTTCGAACTCTTCTAAACTGAGCGCCTGGTTTAAATTTAATAGGGGAAGTTTTCCGGCTGATGCTTGGGCTAATAGTTCGGGTGAAAACCATTGAGCCAATTGATTACTAGTAGGTGATAAGCAACCGTCTCGCTGATAATTTAAATTTGGAGCCATTGCGTTATTAGCAGCCGCGAGATGGGAACCCGAAAGATCTGCAAATAGTAAAGTTATTCGCGCAAATAAGGCAGATTGAAGAGAGAGGAACGAAATTTGCCTTTCAATTTAAAATTCTTTAAGTCCATAAAATCCATAAAATAAATATATCTTATCTTACTTTTTTATACTCAGTTTATATGTATGTTCCAAATACGCATCAAAGACTTCGTATTAAAATGATTGAATAGTTGATCAACAGAAAATAAATACACAAGGTTCAAATTGGGTACAAATATTTCTTATCAAAAAATAATCACATTGTTAAAGCGTGTCACAGATAGTTTTTAGCGGCTATCTTTCGTAAATGAGCAACGAAGAAAAATTCAATGCTGTAGTTTCCGCCGGCATACGTCAGACAATATACATAATACGCAATACGTACATAATATATACACGATCGAGAAAGAAAAGATATTTTTGTTCAAAATTAAGTATCTACGTTATTCATAGATCTCTTGGGATGCGTTTCTTAACAGGAAAATTGTAATTTGTAAACAGAAAATTGAATTGTTATTAAAGTAAGCGGAGCTGAACAAAAAGCGGAATTTTGGTCCTCGAGTTCTATAGATTTTCCAAGATAGGTACTTAACTTGTTGGATTTTGTACTTAAATTTATGTCAACGCTATTGTGATTTACAATGGACGAAAACCACGTATATACTTGGTCTCTGATGCGTTTTCAAACACATTACAAACGGAGTTGCAATGTTAGTGAAGCCGCCCTTATGGTGGTGCTTATATCAGTAATGATTCTTTGTTTTATTTTAAACATACTTGGATGACCGCTAACCACTTCGTGTTGCTGCATATGTTTTTGATTTTGTTGCTGCAATAGTTTTTGAACAGATAAAGATCGTTGCTGATATATATGTTGATGCTGTTGTTGATGTAACTGAGCCATACTATTAATATTCTGAGCATTGGCTAATGACTGTGGAAAGATGTGCGGAGGCGGAAACGATTGATTAATAACCAGCTGCATATGCTGAGTTGATGTATGATTGCCTTTGGATTGATGTTGCTGCAGTTGTTGTAATTCCAGCTTTGTAGCATGCGTTATGTGAGGTAAAATTTGTTGTTGCTGGTGCTGTGTTGACTGCTTTTGTTGATTTTGCCCCACTGTAGGATGTGGCTGCGTTTGTGATGTTGGTGTCAAATGTTGTACTTGTGGCATTTGTAAAGTAGTCATCGGTCCCTTAAGAATTGGACGTCCTTAAAGTGAAGTACTTTAGCAGGGTTCGCTTAAATTACATACAATATGTCATACCTATAGGTTTACTAATTGTAACGATATTAGAATTGATTGTTGGAGACGGCCATTTAAGAAGTTGTTGATTTCGTAGGTGACCAGGCTGATGGCGATGATGTTGTGGGGATATCTGTTGCGGTTGCTGTTGTGATTTTAAAGGTGATACTTGCTGTGCTGTTTTCGATGATATTAGATGATGATGTTGCTGGGATTCTTGATGTACACTGCCGCTACCAAGAATCATTCTGGGTTGAGAGGTTTGTGGATGCTGATGCTGAATTTGATGTTGAATATGTTGTTGTTGCAGTGGAAATATGTCACACGAAGGATTTCCACTCTGAACAAAAAGCACCGGGAATTAGTAAATTAAGGTGCCATTGCAAAGCAATCGGTAAAATCTTTTTTTTTTTAAATCATTTCAGTGATGTCTACGCTTAATTTCAGCGCTAAATATATATTGAGTGAATAATGCAAACACTTTCTGTAAGCAAACTTCTACTCGCAGAGCATTGAAATCAGCGCAGACAACAAGACAGATGCAATAACTTGAGAAAGCAAAAGTACCGACTAATTCATGCGTCGGTTTAATTAACCAATTCCTGGTACATTTTGATTAGAGTTTATAATGATATTAAATGTTAATCCTTAATACTATCGGTTCTTTAGATGTACCTGCTGCGTTTGTGAATGTTGTTGTTGCATATGTTGTAAGTGATAGTGTTGTTGCTGTTGCTGATTATGTTGTGGAGAGGTTTGAGAAGATGCGTTCTGTTGAAAAGATACATCTTTATCGGCTGTCATTTTTCTTAGTACAGATGTGGGTGTAAACGCCAATGGAGTAGGTGAATTTATATGTCGGGATGACGGTTGAGGGTTGTGCAAATGATGGGGTTTCATCAGTTCACTGTTAACCGTACTATTTCCTGGAATGCTTCCTTGCTGTTGTAACAGATCAAAATCCAAATGATGTTTACGTGTTTCTTGTCTTCGCCGCAATACTACTTCTTGCTGTTGTTCCTCCAGTTTTTTTTTCAAGGCGTGCTGCAGAATCGTTTGCGTGTGTATTTGCAGTTCACGTTGAGATGGTATAACTTAAAAGAATTTAACACATGCATCTTAAATGAAGGTAGCGTACATAAAAAAATGTCACAAATTTTAGCTAGAATGCCTAATGTTGGCCTCAAAATCAGTACGAGATTAGACTCAATCCGTTGTCTTGATTAGGTTGGAATTAGTCTTTTATGAACACTTTCTATTGAAAAATAATTTGTACGCAGAAAGAGTTCAATTAAACTGGTAAACTGAGCCTTATCTCGAAGATTGGTGTGTAAATTGGTTTTTCAATACAAACAGAAATTGCGCACTTTGAATAAACACTTCAGTTATTCTACGAAATATGATATGAACAGGTAGAAGTTCAAACATAAGAAATAACTCACATAAGTGGGCAGAATTTTCCTGCTGTTGCGAACTCTGCAGGACTAATTGTTTTTGTTGGTCTTTGGGTTGTTCCAGGCAATTGGAGTGTGTTTTATTACTAATATCTGGTGCTGTTGATACAGCCTGTGTCTCATTGAACATTGTAGCCGTAAGGGCCATCAAATTAACATTACCACCAGCCGCAGGAGTACCACTACGCGAATTTCCGTTTAATACTTTGGACACAACCTCGCTTCCGTTTGATGGAGAATGCAATCTCCTAAAATCTCGATCATTGTAATTCAGATTCACTTCGACTATACCTGATGCTGAAAAAAATAGGAAATAATCAAAACGTATACTTTAACTTCCTCCAGTCTTTTCTTACGATGCACAAAAGGATGAGTATTTATTGGATTGGAATTGGCTGAACCATTAGCACGTAGCGGTGACAATTCACAACAGGAGGTCACCGGAGACGTCTGAATTGACATTAAGTTTTGTTGCGTGGTCAGCGAAGGGGTTACAGAACGCGAACTATCGTTCAGTATGGAAGTAATAACATCTTTAATGTATGGCGATGCGTTGGGATTCTTCAACTCCCTTTCCAGAAAAGCTTGTGAAAACTCCCCCTTGGATAAGGCTACGATATTGCATATAAAAACACAACTGCTTTAAATATTCAAAAAAGTGAGTCATATTCGCTGTAGCGCGAATCCTTTATATCCGTCACTGTAATAAGTTTTAGCTAATCTGCTTAACAGTTCGTTTTCTTAAAGAATGCAGAACAATTGAGTATGTAATATAAACCAAGGAAAACATCAACATCAATATATATAAAGAATTTGGTTTTTTGCGGCTTTATTACTACTAAATTTTAGCACGTCTCTTTTGTAGAACATGAAACGTGCATATAATTCAAAAGAAAATATATGTGCTATTCACAGAGACACCACGTAATGCCAAACGTAAACGTTTTTATAGACCAAATCGCTACTTACCGCTGAATCTACGCATTTTAAAAGGTCTACAATTTTTAAATATTACTTAAATAATGACATCCTGTGGATAATAAGTACTACAAAGAGGAGGAATTCATAACTTACATTGCAACAAATTTTGCATTTCCATTTGTTTTAGGGGATGATGACCTAAAATAAATGGTAGCATACATTGAGGTGGCTGCACAGATAATGCTGAAAAAGTTTCGTTCTCAAAGTGCTGCGGTGGTATTGGTGCTGACATATGATACTGTGACTGATCCGCTTGCTGTATATTTGACGGCAGCATTTGCAAAAACTTTTGTTGGTAGATTGTTTGGTGTTGTTCTTGCATTGGTTTGGCGAGATCCTCATGCCTGATCATATTGGAAAGCGGTACAGGAATCGACTGTGTGAGGATTCCTTGTTTTTCCACGTTTAACGCTTCTTGCAATGCTGTTGCCGAACTGCTAAATAACCGATCAGGGTGTGAATCCATCATTACATTGATCGCCAACCCAACGTCGCGAGGCTTGTTATCTCCTGCTCCCAGTTGATTTAACAGTCGCTTGAAGGCTTCTACATCCTGATTAGTTTTTGGAGAAGGCGATGAATCGGGAGGGTCAACACACCTATTGGCGGTGCTGCCAGAGTTTCTTATTGGCTTGGCACCACAACCTGGTATTTCTGTGTGCTCGCTCTTAGTATCAAGAAGGCGCATGCGAGCCTCCAGCTCCTCAACACTCAATGCTAACACTTTATATAAGCAGAGCAAATAACTCTTATGATTTAAATTTTTAACATTATTTTGTTAATAAACTAACAGTTTGGTATTGGTTACCTACCGGCATGAGGTAAAGATTTTGGAAGATCTGGAGTTAGAAAATGATTATTCCTGAAGAACGCCATAAGAGAATCCGTTCCATTACCCTTTAATTCTTTTTCTTTGTCATCTAAAAAATATTTTGTTTACTTCATTACTTTAATAAGATGATATGGATTCTTTCACACCTCCATAAGGTTTACTTTGACTGGCTACTGGAACAAACTCATCATCTTTATTAGTCTCCTTGTTCACAAACCAACGACTAAAGCGTGAAGTTCCTATCTCATTTGAAATAATGTTTTGATCACCCGCCTTGAATAAAAGGAAAAAAAATGGGAACAAAAGCATTGAAACGTAACATCGCCAATAGAAATAATAATTTAACATTTCTGTGTAACATCTTTCTTTTGACCTTACAATTATAGGATATTCTAAGGAATCCATATCGAAGAAATTTAGTATATCATCAACATTTCCTGATTTACTAGATGGCGAAATCTGCGAAGTTGCGTCTTTTACTTCAGCTAGATGGTCCGAAGACAAATGTTTGCCAATTTTTTCATCCTTAAGTTCGTTAGTGTGATTGTTTCCTTGACCATTTGTATCTGAGTTATTATTTATTGACATACCCTCATCATCATCTGCATGATCGATACCATCTTCAGCATGAAAATCCTTTTCTACATTATTTAGAATTATAGCTTTGTGGTCATTTGCACTTTCCAACTTTCGATTATTACTAGGCGAAGACGATGAACTATCACTGTGCTTTTCGTCATTTTCGTTTACAAAATAGCTGTCTTCGTGTTCATCAATTTCCTCAAAGCCATGCAGTTCAATAGTGTCGTGCTGAGAAGTGGGACCACCACTGAACCATTCAGGCTCATCTTTATCCTTTTCCTTCAGTTTTGGTTTTTCTTTTTTCTCAAATGCATGATTTTGGCTACGTCTAAAGGACATTGTGCGTTGTATCATACACGATTGCGACAGCTGGAAACGGTGATTAGCATTTAAATCTATGCTGTTGTCCTCACAAGTAGTTGCATTATAACGCCTTGTATTGTATCCGTTATCTTTGTTTTCATGCTTTTCGCTGCGTGCATAACTTTCTAGCACACGACGATCGTAAGGACGGCGTTCTCCTAGGTTACGTTCGCAATTGCGTGCTTCTGGGAATCGCAATACCGCACGTGGAGAGTTATCATTACTGTTGTCTGGTGCTGATTCAACACTGGTGAAATTACCGTGAAAATTTTTCTCCCTTTCTACTCTAGTACCACCGCTGTTAGACCTGTAATCCCAACAAACTTCACGAGAGACTAAGCGTCCGCTGCCTATGCGACGATCCAAACGCTTCGCGTTGTTACTCTTATTACATGTTGGATTGATTTCAGCGTGCGAATCGCTCATCAATGGTAGCCAGTAAGGATGAGTCTCCGTGTTAGAATGATCTGCTGCAAAGTAAACAAAAGTGCTTAAAAGTGTGCCATTTTAAAGTGATAATAAATGAGTAATCACTCCTAGTGCATGGTAACATTAGCTAACTGTTTATTCCAGTATTTATTTAAGTAATTTTTATAGCGGTAAAAGCAATCGTGACAAGTAAGAAAATTGAACGGGGGACCGAATCCCCTATACCAATCACCGTTATCCTGAAAAAGACAAAAGTAAAAGAGCAAAATTTTCATGCTCTATAATATGAGTGGGCGCAGATGATTTCTTCTATTTTCAAAGGAATATTATTCTAAGAAGAATATTCAATACAACGTTTTGCGGACTTTGCAGTCCTTTGACTATTTTCGTTTTTGGTAACGGGAGAATGTTTGCCACAAATACTACAAAGTTGCGCAAACAAATGAACAGGCGGACGTGTTTAAGTACATTCCAAATGTGAAACTGGTCAAGAATTTATATTCCTTATGGGGCTTTTGAAGCTTGCTTCTGCGCCTTATGAAGGTATTGAAAAAATAATTAAATTTTAATACACTATAATATTGAATAGCCGTGCACAGACGCTACAGGAAAATGTTTACAATAGACGTTATACAGATGGACGTACAGTCAGGTGGACTTGCTTAGATCGATTTAGAATTTGATGCTGATCAAGAATACATATACTTTGTGGGGTCTCTGATGTTGCCTTCTGGGCCTCGCAATCGTTTTTACAAAATGAATACCCCCTATCCTTCGGCAAAATTGCTACCGAAATGACCGCAATTTTCTGCTAGAAAATACATGAAAGTTTTTTTTGGGCAGTGCCCATTCGTCATGAAAGCGTAAAAAGACGCCT